TTACCTATGTTGTTTTACTTTCTATTGTATCTTTGTGAATGTTTTGTCAATGTATTTTGTCTTTAAATAAAATATATATTAATTAAATATGGGGGGTGGTAGGAGAAAATTCTCAAACAGCTTCAGGGAGAACCTTGAGTTTTCCCTGAGGCAAGTTTATTCTTTTCTCTGAGGATGAGGGTCCCCAGGACAGTTCTAGAGGTGGTACCTCCATATATATATATATATATATATATATATATAAATATATATATATATATATATATATATATATATATATATATATATATATATATATATATATGTATATATATAATATATATATATATATATATATATATATATATATATATATATACATACATATATATATATATATATATATATATATATATATATATATATATATATAATATATATATATATATATATATAAAAATATATATATATATATATAATTATATATATATATATATATATATATATATGTATATATATATATATATAATATATATATATATATATATAATATATATATATATATATATATATATATATATATATATATTATTATTATTATTATTATTATTATTTTTATTATTCGGCACGACATATATATAAAACACGGTAAGAGTGAGTATCCCCGACAGCCAGGCGGAGGCGGCTAGTATACCAGTGGGATGTGGTATTCCCAGTTTCCGTAACCCCTCCGTCACGCTCCACGTGAAGTGCTTTACTGCCTCAAGAAACATTATTAAGCATGACACGCAGAATTCTGAGTTACATGGCGACCAGTATGAGAATCTGGTTATTGCTGGCGAGAGCGTGATTGTTGATAGCGAGGACGTGATTGTTGATAGCGAGGACGTGATTACTGATAGCGAGGACGTGATTACTGATAGCGAGGACGTGATTACTGATAGCGAGGACGTAATTACTGACAGCGAGAACGTGATTACTGATAGCGAGGACGTGATTACTGATAGCGAGGACGTGATTACTGATAGCGAAGACGTGATTGCTAATAGCGAGGACGTGATTACTGATAGCGAGGACGTGATTACTGATAGCGAGGATGTGATTGGTGATAACGAGAACGTGATTGCTGATAGCGAAGACGTGATTATGATAGCGAGGACATGGGTACTGACAGCGAGGACGTGATTACTGATAGCGAGGACGTGATTGGTGATAGCGAGGACGTGATTACTGATAGCGAGGACGTGATTGCTGATAGCGAGGATGTGATTGGTGATAACGAGAACGTGATTGCTGATAGCAAGGACGTGATTGCTGATTGCGAGGACGTGATTACTGTTAGCGAGGACGTGATTACTGATAGCGAGGACATGAGTACTGATAGCGAGGACGTGATTGGTGATAACAAGAACGTGATTGCTGATAGCAAGGACGTGATTGCTGATTGCGAGGACGTGATTACTGATAGAGAGGACGTGATTACTGATAGCGAGGACGTGATTACTGACAGCGAGGACGTGATTGGTGATAACAAGAACGTGATTGCTGATAGCAAGGACGTGATTGCTGATTGCGAGGACGTGATTACTGATAGAGAGGACGTGATTACTGATAGCGAGGACGTGATTACTGACAGCGAGAACGTGATTACTGATAGCGAGGACGTGATTACTGACAGCGAGGACGTGATTACTGATAGCGAGGACGTGATTACTGATAGCGAGGACGTGATTACTGACAGCGAGGACGTGATTACTGATAGCGAGGACGTGATTACTGATAGCAAGGACGTGATTACTGATAGCAAGGACGCGATTACTGATAGCGAGGACGTGATTACTGATAGCGAGGACGTGATTACTGATAGCAAGGACGTGATTACTGATAGCGAGGACGTGATTACTTATAGCGAGGACGTGACTGCTGATAGAGAGGACGTGATTGCTAATAGCGAGGACATGACTGCTAATAGCGAGGACGTGATTGCTGATAGCGAGGACGTGATTACTGATAGCGAAGGCGTGATTGCTAATAGCGAGGACGTGATTACTGATAGCGAGGACGTGATTACTGATAGCGAGGATGTGATTGGTGATAACGAGAACGTGATTGCTGATAGCGAGGACGTGATTATGATAGCGAGGACATGAGTACTGATAGCGAGGACGTGATTACTGATAGCGAGGACGTGATTGGTGATAGCGAGGACGTGATTACTGATAGCGAGGACGTGATTGCTGAAAGCGAGGACGTGATTGGTGATAACGAGAACGTGATTGCTGATTGCAAGGACGTGATTGCTGATTGCGAGGACGTGATTACTGATAGCGAGGACGTGATTACTGATAGCGAGGACATGAGTACTGATAGCGAGAACGTAATTACTTTTATCGAGGACGTGATTACTGACAGCGAGGACATGATTACTGATAGCGAGGACATGAGTACTGATAGCGAGGACGTAATTACTTTTATCGAGGACGTGATTACTTACAGCGAGGACGTGATTGGTGATAACAAGAACGTGATTGCTGATAGCAAGGACGTGATTGCTGATTGCGAGGACGTGATTACTGATAGCGAGGACGTGATTACTGATAGCGAGAACGTAATTGCTGATAGCGAGGAGGTGATTACTGATTGCGAGGATGTGATTGGTGATAGCGAGGACGTGATTGGTGATAGCGAGAACGTGATTGCTGATAGCGAGGACGTGACTACTGATAGCGAGGACGTGATTACTGATAGCGAGGACATGAGTACTGATAGCGAGGACGTAATTACTTTTATCGTGGACGTGATTACTGATAGCGAGGACGTGACTGGTGATAACGAGAACGTGATTGCTGATAGCAAGGACGTGATTGCTGATTGCGAGGACGTGATTACTGATAGCGAGGACGTGATTACTGATAGCGAGAACGTGATTGCTGATAACGAGGACGTGATTATGATAGCGAGGACATGAGTACTGATATACTGATAGCGAGGACGTGATTACTGATAGCGAGGACGTGATTGGTGATAGCGAGGACGTGATTGGTGATATCGTGGAGGTGATTACTGATAGCGAGGAGGTGATTACTGATTGCGAGGATGTGATTGGTGATAGCGAGGACGTGATTGGTGATAGCGAGAACGTGATTGCTGATAGCGAGGACGTGACTACTGATAGCGAGGACGTGATTACTGATAGCCAGAACGTGATTGCTGATAGCGAGGACGTGACTGCTGATAGTGTGGACGTGATTACTGATAGCGAGGACATGAGTACTGATAGCGAGGACGTAATTACTTTTATCGTGGACGTGATTACTGATAGCGAGGACGTGACTGGTGATAACGAGAACGTGATTGCTGATAGCAAGGACGTGATTGCTGATTGCGAGGACGTGATTACTGATAGCGAGGACGTGATTACTGATAGCGAGAACGTGATTGCTGATAACGAGGACGTGATTATGATAGCGAGGACATGAGTACTGATATACTGATAGCGAGGACGTGATTACTGATAGCGAGGACGTGATTGGTGATAGCGAGGACGTGATTGGTGATATCGTGGAGGTGATTACTGATAGCGTGGATGTGATTGGTGATAGCGAGGACGTGATTGGTGATAGCGAGAACGTGATTGCTGATAGCGAGGACGTGATTGCTGATAGCGAGGACGTGGTTGCTGATTGCGAGAACGTGATTACTGATAGCGAGGACGTGATTACTGATAGCGAGAACGTGATTGCTGATAGCGAGGACGTGATTACTGATAGCGAGGATGTGATTACTGATAGCGAGGACGTAATTACTTTTATCGAGGACGTGAATACTGATAGCGAGGACGTGATTGCTGATAGCGAGAAAGTGATTACTGATAGCGAGGGCGTGTTTACTGATAGCGAGGACGTGATTGCTGATAGCGAGGACGTGATTGATGATAGCGAGGATGTGATTACTGATAGCGAGGACGTGATTACTGATAGAGAAGACGTGATTGCTGATAGCGAGGACGTGATTACTTTTATCGAGGACGTAAGTACTGATAGTGAGACATGATTACTGTAAGTGTGTGTACTCACCTAATTTTACTCACCTAATTGTGGTTGCAGGAGTCGAGACTCGGCTCCTTCACCCGCCTTTTCACTGACCGCTACTGGCCCCTCCCTCTCCCTGCTCCATGAGCTTTATCATACCTCGTCTTAAAAATATGTATGGTTCCTTCCTCCACTACAACGCTTGTCAGACTATTCCACTTCATAACAACTCTATGGCTGAAGAAATGCTTCCTAAAATCCCTTTGACTCATCTGAATCTTCAGCTTCCAGTGTGACCTTTGTTTCTGTGTTCCATCTCTGGAACATCCTGTCTCTGTCCACCTTGTCAATTCCACGTAGTATTTTGTATGACGTTATCATGTCTCCCCTGAACCTCTTGTCCTCCAGTATCGTCAGACCGATTTCCCTTAACCTTTCTTCATAGGACATTCCCCTTAGTTCTGGACTAGCCTTGTTGCAAACCTTTGCATTTTCTCTAATTTCTTGATGTGTTTGACCAGATGTGGGTTCCAAACTGGTGCTGCGTACTCCAGTATGTGCCTGACTTACACAGTGTATAAAGTCTTTAACGATTCCTTACTGAGACACCAGAACGCTATTCTCAGGGGAAATGTACTGCGGTGGGTAACAACTTTTAGTTAGTACATAAACGAAGGTACTCTGAACCTATCCTTGAAAAAATGCCTTAAGAAATAGAGATGAGCAGAGATAATATTATAGCAGGAAAATCCCCAAATGATCCAGCAAATCACTGTAAAATTCCCCTCCACACTTCCTTCACTGCGATCATCAGTGATTACCTTTGTCCTGTACGACTGATACCAACCAATCGTAATGCAATTGCTCTATTTAAGTCTATAATAAATATAAAATTTTTTAAGTTTTCCAGTAAAATAGGCGTCGCTTTCCATACATAACACGAGAACTAAAGAATCAAATCCATCGTGGTATTTATTTTATGATGGTAAAAGAGCAACAGTTGGCAAGAGCAACACTGCAGTTCGTGTGAGGTGGCAATATAAGCAGGAGCTTATCATAGTCTAGTAGCACTTGTTGACTCACAAGCAAACTGCAGCCACCATGATCTCTCTGCGAACTCTGGTGAGTAGCTAGAAAACTGTCGTGTTGTCGTTGGTAAGAATTGATGCTACTGGCAGTTCTGGTGTCAGTACTGGTGCTGTTGCAAGTGTTGGTGCTAGAGTTGATTCTCACGCTTTCAATGTTGATTTTTTAATAGTTTTGCTGTTTTAGTTAAGACGTTAATATTTGTTCTCTGCCTGTCACTAGTTATACTAGATCACAGTCACCAGCAACATGGTTCCCAGACATCTAAAAAAAAAAAAGTCCACCAGGTTCCATCTAACTATTTTCGGGGTCCTTAGGGGATGTAAAGAGGACCTTGAGTAGTCGGATTATTCACTTAGTGCTGATATTGTTGCTACTGCTACTGAGTGCTGCTGCAAGTACTGGTGATGCTCTTAACAGTCAGGAAGACTCCCTTTAATGCAGTGTTCTATTAAGCAACTGATCCCCGAGTTTAATTAATTTGCGAAGCTTCAGATGGATACAGAACTCACTATTGGTTTATTTTCATATATGTACTTTAATGAGAGTGAAGAATTATCCAGGGAAAACATGATTATCGATTTTTTTTAAAGATCAGAGCTGCATTAAATATTCCTTTGAATAGTTCCACTTCCTTATAATTTTTTTTCGAATCAATCCGATTCCAGTATCGTTGTCATTTGTTGAATTGACTCGATTGTTTTTTGGATGAGGTAATATGTTCTTGTTTAACTGTCAGTGTAAGAATTACACTATATTCATCTGTAGTTTATAATAAACATTTTTTTATCAGAAGTTTACGTACTTTTGAAGACATTGATTAGACTGCAGAGTCGAGCTACATTCACATGTTTAATCTCTGTTTATTATTTTCCAGATGATGATGATGCTGGTGATGGCTGCTGTGGGCGTTGCTGTGGCTCACCCACATCCTTCTGCCAGCCGTAGATATGGTAGTGGTGGATATGGTGGTGCTGGATATGGTGGTGGTGGATTTGGTAGTGGTGGATTTGGTAGTGGTGGATTTGGTAATGGTGGATTTGGTGGTAGTGGGTTCAGTGGCAGTGGACTTGGTGGATTCGGCGGCAGTAGATACACTAGCGGATTCGGTGGCAGTGGATTTGGAAGTGGTGGCTTCGGTGGCAGTGGATTTGGAAGTGGTGGCTTCGGTGGCAGTGGATTTGGTGGACTCGGTGCCGGAGGATTTAGAGGCGGACTCGGTACTGGAGGATTTGGAGGCGGATTCGGTAGCAGTAAATTTGGTGGCGGATACGGTGGGTAAGTAAAGGCCTGAGTGAGACCAGTTGCTAACACAACATTCTATATTGTATACAAACATAAAGAGTACATCGATAATGCATGAACAGTTTTGTTACTTGTTATATAAGTAAACTTCGCTTTAATTAAAATAATGACTAACCTAGAGTTAATTCAAAAATTTTATGAGACTTATGATCAGTCATAAACTCTCACATTACAGATTAAGTGACTTTAGAGTACGTACGTATATGTAACTTTAGAAGAGTATATGTGACTTTAGAAGAGTATATGTGACTTTAGAAGAGTATATGTAACTTTAGAAGAGTATATGTAACTTTAGAAGAGTATATGTGATTTTAGAAGAGTATATGTGACTTTAGAAGAGTATATGTAACTTTAGAAGAGTATATGTGACTTTAGAAGAGTATATGTGACTTTAGAAGAGTATATGTAACTTTAGAAGAGTATATGTAACTTTAGAAGAGTATATGTGACTTTAAAAGAGTATATGTGACTTTAGAAGAGTATATGTGACTTTAGAAGAGTATATGTGACTTTAGAAGAGTATATGTAACTTTAGAAGAGTATATGTAACTTTAGAAGAGTATATGTGACTTTAGAAGAGTATATGTGACTTTAGAAGAGTATATGTAACTTTAGAAGAGTATATGTAACTTTAGAAGAGTATATGTGACTTTAAAAGAGTATATGTGACTTTAGAAGAGTATATGTGACTTTAGAATTGTATATGTGACTTTAGAAGAGTATATGTGACTTTAGAAGAGTATATGTAACTTTAGAAGAGTAGAGTATATGTGACTTTAGAAGAGTATAAGTAACTTTAGAAGAGTATATGTAACTTTAGAAGTGTATATGTGACTTTAGAAGAGTATATGTGACTTTAGAAGAGTATATGTGACTTTAGAAGAGTATATGTGACTTTAGAAGAGTATATGTGACTTTAGAAGAGTATATGTAACTTTAGAAGAGTAGAGTATATGTGACTTTAGAAGAGTATATGTAACTTTAAAAGAGTATATGTGACTTTAGAAGAGTATATGTGACTTTAGAAGTGTATATGTGACTTTAAAAGAGTATATGTAACTTTAGAAGTGTATATGTGACTTTAGAAGAGTATATGTGACTTTAGAAGTGTATATGTAACTTTAGAAGAGTATATGTAACTTTAGAAGTGTATATGTGACTTTAGAAGAGTATATGTGACTTTAGAAGAGTTATATGTGACTTTAGAAGAGTATATGTGACTTTAGAAGAGTATATGTGACTTTAGAAGAGTATATGTAACTTTAGAAGTGTATATGTGACTTTAGAAGAGTATATGTGACTTTAGAAGAGTATATGTGACTTTAGAAGAGTATATGTGACTTTAGAGAGTATATGTAACTTTAGAAGAGTATATGTAACTTTAGAAGTGTATATGTGACTTTAGAAGAGTATATGTGACTTTAGAAGAGTATATGTGACTTTAGAAGAGTATATGTGACTTTAGAAGAGTATATGTGACTTTAGAAGTGTATATGTGACTTTAGAAGAGTATATGTGACTTTAGAAGAGTATATGTAACTTTAGAAGAGTATATGTAACTTTAGAAGTGTATATGTGATTTTAGAAGAGTATATTTGACTTTAGAAGAGTATATGTGACTTTAGAAGAGTATATGTGACTTTAGAAGAGTATATGTGACTTTAGAATTGTATATGTGACTTTAGAAGAGTATATGTGACTTTAGAAGAGTGTATGTAACTTTAGAAGTGTATATGTGACTTTAGAAGAGTATATGTAACTTTAGAAGAGTATATGTGACTTTAGAAGAGTATATGTGACTTTAGAATTGTATATGTGACTTTAGAAGAGTATATGTGACTTTAGAAGAGCATATGTAACTTTAGAAGTGTATATGTGACTTTAGAAGAGTATATGTAACTTTAGAAGAGTATATGTAACTTTAGAAGAGTATATGTAACTTTAGAAGAGTATATGTAACTTTAGAAGTGTATATGTGACTTTAGAAGAGTATATGTGACTTTAGAAGAGTATATGTGACTTTAGAAGAGTATATGTGACTTTAGAAGAGTATATGTGACTTTAGAATTGTATATGTGACTTTAGAAGAGTATATGTGACTTTAGAAGAGTATATGTGACTTTAGAAGAGTATATGTGACTTTAGAAGAGTATATGTAACTTTAGAAGAGTAGAGTATATGTGACTTTAGAAGAGTATATGTAACTTTAGAAGAGTATATGTAACTTTAGAAGAGTATATGTAACTTTAGAAGAGTATATGTAACTTTAGAAGTGTATATGTGACTTTAGAAGAGTATATGTGACTTTAGAAGAGTATATGTAACTTTAGAAGAGTAGAGTATATGTGACTTTAGAAGAGTATATGTAACTTTAGAAGAGTATATGTAACTTTAGAAGTGTATATGTGACTTTAGAAGAGTATATGTGACTTTAGAAGAGTATATTTAACTTTAGAAGAGTAGAGTATATGTGACTTTAGAAGAGTATATGTAACTTTAGAAGAGTATATGTAACTTTAGAAGTGTATATGTGACTTTAGAAGAGTATATGTGACTTTAGAAGAGTATATGTAACTTTAGAAGAGTGTATGTGACTTTAGAAGAGTATATGTGACTTTAGAAGAGTATATGTGACTTTAGAAGAGTATATGTGACTTTAGAAGAGTATATGTAACTTTAGAAGAGTATATGTGACTTTAGAAGAGTATATGTAACTTTAGAAGAGTGTATGTGACTTTAGAAGAGTATATGTAACTTTAGAAGAGTATATGTGACTTTAGAAGAGTATATGTAACTTTAGAAGAGTATATGTGACTTTAGAAGAGTATATGTAACTTTAGAAGAGTATATGTAACTTTAGAAGAGTATATCTAACTTTAGAAGTGTATATGTGACTTTAGAAGAGTATATGTAACTTTAGAAGAGTATATGTGACTTTAGAAGAGTATATGTGACTTTAGAAGAGTATATGTGACTTTAGAAGAGTATATGTGACTTTAGAAGAGTATATGTGACTTTAGAAGAGTATATGCAACTTTAGAAGAGTATATGTAACTTTAGAAGAGTATATGTAACTTTAGAAGTGTATATGTGACTTTAGAAGAGTATATGTAACTTTAGAAGAGTATATGTAACTTTAGAAGAGTATATGTAACTTTAGAAGGGTATATGTGACTTTAGAAGTGTATATGTGACTTTAGAAGAGTATATGTAACTTTAGAAGTGTATATATAACTTTAGAAGTGTATATGTAACTTTAGAAGTGTATATGTAACTTTAGAAGTGTATATGTAACTTTAGAAGAGTATATGTAACTTTAGAAGTGTATATGTGACTTTATAAGAGTATATGTAACTTTACTAGAGTATATGTGACTTTAGAAGAGTATATGTAACTTTAGAAGTGTATATGTAACTTTAGAAGTGTATATGTAACTTTAGAAGAGTATATGCAACTTTAGAAGTGTATATGTGACTTTAGAAGAGTATATGTAACTTTAGAAGAGTATATGTGACTTTAGAAGAGTATATGTGACTTTAGAAGAGTATATGTAACTTTAGAAGAGTATATGTAACTTTAGAAGAGTATATGTAACTTTA